ATAGTCTCTATGTAATTACTTATATAAATTATCTAATAAAGATATGAGCAAGGCCTCACCTTAAAACCAAAAAAAAATATATATATATATTTTTAAAGATGATCTTTTTGGCTATAACTTTTTATTAGAAGTTAAGTTTCAGTTACAATAATGGTATAACTAGCCACATATACAACTTTTGGTTATCTATTTAAGTAGTCTGTTTATTTTTGGTTCTACACTAGCCACTATACCTGCAATCTAACTAGGAGATTACCTATTTAAACTCTCTGTTTTTTATAAACAAGGGTATAACTAGCTACATGTGCAACTTTTGGTTGTCTTTTTAAATAGTCTGGCTTAGGTTTTACACTAGCTACCATACCTGCAACTCAACTAGGGAGTTACCTATTTAAACTCTCTGATCATAACCTGATTTTACCTAGTAGGATCTTTTAACTTGGTTACCCAAATTTTATTTATTATACTCTAGGACTTACCAACTTGGTTTATCCTTAAGATAAACCTACCAGAGCCTTCTATATCTCATTTTTGGCTGATCCAGTATCATAGTTGCTAGGGCTCCTATTCGCAGTTAGGGTTACTTTTATTTAACTGCTGCACTTTTATAAGATTCACTTCAACCCAGCACCTTCATTTGAACTTCTCTTTTTTTCAGATTCTTAACTGGTCTCTCCTTTACTTCCAGCCAGCAATCTAGAAGGGTTGGTCTCTCCAGGTATTAGATACTCTACATGTATCCTCCTCTTGGTATATACTTCTAGAGCACATGTTCTTTTTTCTAGTTTGATGACCTGGCAGTTTAGCTATTATGTCCCCTCACTTAAAAACCTGGTTACTTAGTTTTCCAGTCTCAGTCTCCGGTTCTATGTTCAGTTTTCATGTAGCACTATCAAAAGTTTCTGTTATCTCCTCACTTAGAACTTTCCAAATAGGTTTTGATTATTATAGTTTCTTGGCCTTTTATATGCCAAAGCTCTCATGTAAACATGATATTACCAAGATTACAGGTTTTGGGACCTAAAATAATCAATTATGACCATCACTATATCACAAGCCTAGTTTTCAAAAAATGTTATCCATAGAATTCAAACTTTAGGCCTGCCATCTGGAAATGCAACAACTTCACTACTTTACTAAGTCTCTATACCCAATAATCTTTATATATATTACTGGGCCAATTCAGATAAATTTATAAAAGAAGTAGCTATTATAGTTTGTAACTATTTTAAACCTTATATTCATAGTTATTATATATATTTTAGTAGTGCTATTATGCTTGATCTATTTTTCAAAAGCAAAATCAAACTCTAGATAATTTCTATTTATCTATCCTTAATGGATACTACTAAACACAATTTATTTAAACTACAGTAATTAATTAGATTATATAAGTATATTAATATAACTTTCAACCTATTATTCTAGGTAACTTCAATACACAAATACTATCTTTAGTTCTTCTTCTAAGTTTAAATTTATTAACTTTTTATATTGCTCTAATATGTTTGATATTGGAGCATATCTTAATAATACATACTCTACTTGGTTTAAAAAAACACAATCTAGTAGAATTGACTATATTTGAACAAATACTTTTAATTTATAATTTCTATTTAACTATAACTTTAATAATAATAAACTAGTATTTTTAGTAACTATTTTATTTTCTTGATTTTTTAAATTTTTCCTAATATCTATAACAAACTTCTTTATCTTTATATATATATTAGCTATAGAATCTTTAATTACAAAGCTATCTCTAATAAATTATAGCTTGAATTTTCTAAGCTAAGTATACAACTAATTAATAAAAGTTATATATTTCTTATCTCAGACTCTCTTGAAAGCATTAATACCATTTAGTACAAACCACAGTATAGTATTATACAAGCTACAATCAAAAATTATTCCTAATAAAATATCTTAAAAATATAGTTATAATTATCAATATAGCTCTCAATATACTGCACTTCATATTTATTTCAAAAAACTTGGTAAACTTATTAAAATTTTTATAAACAAAACAACTATAATTACTCTTGCTTATATCTTTCATATATCAACTCTTACATTTTAATTATTAATATATACTTTAACTACAACCTCCTAATATTGGATTTTCTTAACTTTTCTACTGTTTAATCCTAACTATAACATGTTTACTTTATATAAAAACAAATAACTATACTTACTATCTTAAATACTTTTTTTGTTTTTGTCATCAAATCAATTTGGCTTTTTAAAAAAATATAAAACTTATGTTTATAAACCTACTCAAACTATCAATAGTATACTTAACTGCTATTTGCTTTCTAATATCAGTTATACAATTTGTTATATATATATCATATGTAAATTTTTTATATATAAAATTATCTCTTAAACTGTATTCCAGGAAAATTTGCCTGGAATTTTAAAAAGTACTGTTGAACCTCCCAAACCCGGTACGTATGGTGGACAGATTTTGTATCGGTATTGAGAGGTTATCAGATTTGAAACCATTATAAACTATTAGATTTATATAACGGAAACGGACTTGGTAGACTAATTTTTTATCAGATTTGACAGGTTATCGATTTTGAGAGGATCGATTTTGGGAGGTTCAACAGTATTTATAATTTTTTAAATAAAATTATAAAAATCTTAGTTAATATGCTACACAGATTTCCAAATTAATTCCCGTGTATATACACATATTGTATAATTAGTTTTTACAAATAAATTAATATTAATATTTGTTTTGCTATAACATTTTTATATAATAATTTTGATTAAAATTTCGTAAATTAACTTCAAAAATTAAAAGCTTTGAATTTTAGATATTTTTATAAATATGAATGTCCTTATTTTATTACAAGTTAAAATAAAAATTATATATATATTAATATCAAAATTCTAACATATAGTACATTAAATTTTTTCAGATTACATTTGAATATTTTTATCTCTCTTTTTCATGTTTTCCTCATTCGTTTTTTTCTTTCTTTCTTCACTATTTTTTACTGCAAATATTTCAATTATAGATCGGATAATACCAAGAATAATCTTAAAGATAGTTGTGACAAGCACAAAGAATGGAAAAATGCTATAGGTTACAATTGATTGAAAATATATAATCTATATAAATAATATTACATATAAAATATTTAAATTATAATTATTTAATTAGTGAAGAAAAATATTAATATTTAAAAAAATAAATAAATATTAATAATATAAAAACATTACCTGAAGAATTATTAATGGAATATTCTTAATAATAAGATCAGCAAACGCCAAAATCTTAGCTGTCATCTGAAAGTTCTGTTTAAATATGCTTTCTACTTTGTTTATAATTAATAAAGTATCACTATCATATAATGCTAAAATCAGAAATATATATTGTTCTGGTCTGAAATTTTTAATAAATCCATTCTTGTATTTAATATATATAAACACAACGGCATTTATAAATATTGGAACAGCCCAGATGATTTTACTTTTTAAACATAAAAAAATAGCCATTAGTGATTTAGAATTACTTTAATTATCAAAGAATTTGAATAAGGCACCTTGGTAAACTGAATTCCGGTTTACTATTAGTGTCATCAAAGGAAAAATGGGTGAAGAAATAAGAGTGTGAGATAACGAAAAATCCGCCTGTAACTCCATTAAGAAATCTTAACCCATGATTAAGCATATTGTCTTTATCATTTGCCTCCAGTTCACTATCACTCTGTCGAATAAAAGATTTTAATATTTATAGAATTAAAAAAGCCAACAAAAATAAATATAATAAAATAATACCTTGGCAAATTGAGAAATACCATATAATACTATGTTCACCAAAGAAAACACAGCAAAAGAAGTAATTGACGTTTTATATTCACCAAATAAATTGCTTTTTTGCTTAAACCCATAAGTTGAATCTAAATCACTTGTCAAACCAGAGGCAAAAGTAGTGATAGTTTTATACTTAATCATGTTATCTAAACTTGATATCACCCCTGGAACAGAAATTTCATTCTGTGTTGAAATTATCGAACTTATCTGGATAGAAAATTGAAGATTTGTGCCAGATATGCTCTGAACATACTGAAAATGTCCATCTGTAGTTAGACGTTCACGCCTGACTGGTACTTTTTTAGAAATTTCTTGTAACAAATCATTAAAGTATCCGGTTTGATTATTTACGGATGAAGTTGTAAATCTGTTTGTTGCATTCACAGTAAGCTGAGCTAAACAATTCGGAATTAGATTATATAATTGTTAATTTTTTAAC